GATAATGATATGATTGAAACCATATCCTCTAACTTCCTCAATATAACAGATAAGATCATCTTTCACATAATGTATAGTATCTTGAGGAGTTTCGATATGGAGGTCAAGGCCAAGAGAAGTTGCAACACGAGAACAATTGGATGAGTTCACAATTTCGACTACAATGGGCGGATTATACGAGGAGCCAGTGAATTTATCACCAACTGACACTTGACACAGGGAGGTACCGTTTTCATGCTTTTCAGATTGATTGTCCGGGAATACAGGACAGCACGGCGTCTTTGGGGTTTCCATTGTCCATACAGAGTTGCAATAGGAACCAATTCGGAGCAATTGCCCCAGGCTTGTCTGAAATTTTCGAATTCCTGATTGGTTGGGACATTCGAAAACAATCTCGGCATCATTCTTACTCTTGTTTCCGCTATCTTTTTGTTGATCGATTCTATCTCTACTCTGTTGCCTGTCCCACAGCGAATCGAAGCACCGAAGAGGTATTTTAGAACCCTTCCTCTCCGTTTCGAAATCGTGAGGTTCACTGCGGATGGACGAGCTAGCACAGTCTCCTCCATTTTGAAAATCTGTTCGGCGAGAAGCTCCAACATTTTCATCAAATATGTCGTCTGGTTTTGCGATGCCGTTCTCGGAGGGAAATTTATATAGTGTGTCCATAGTAAGCATATGACGTCCCATACTGTAATCACCAGGATTGGTCCAAGGTGAGGCACAACTATCACTTTTCCCGCTGTGCCATACGGGATTACCAGTCTCTGATATCTACGTAAGAACGGTTTCATTGAGATTTTTGCATGAAAAGAAGAACCTTTGAATTTTTCAGTGCAAACAAAATAATACAACACCTGAAAGAATCTATGAACTCCGTTTTCAGATTTCTCATCCATGGCTCTTTGAGATTGTATGTCGAATTATATCTTGAATCCTTTTCAGTCGTAAATTCAAAAATTTTAGAAGTCTTAAGTGTTTGTTTTCTCCAAGTTAACAGTATTTTATTATAGGCTGGGGTATTGATAACAATACGGAGGTGAACCGTCTTTGTTAGTCGAGTAATTTATCAATTGTATTACGAGCCGATGAAAAAAAACTCGTGTTGCTTTGAACCAATCAGTAATGTTGACATAACATTGTACAATTTAAGAGTCCTCGTTTACTACGCTCCTGCCTTACAACAATAATGTATTCAGGCACAATGAGGAATAGTGACAGATTTCTCTAAGAACATAATAGTTAATAGAATTTATAACCGAGGTTGTTATTACATTCGACAGGCGTCTTGTCGGTCGCGTATCATCGAATTCCAAGTTCGCGTATTGTAAGTAGATCATTAATTGGCATCGTCAACTTCAGGGATTTTCAAGCTGCTCAGACAGCGATTTTTTGTATAACTAATTTTTACTATCCACAACTAAGTTTTATAAATTAATATAGATATTTCTCCAATTCCAAAGATTTAATCATATAATCTGCGTCATAATTAAGTATTACCAATTTACAACATGTATAGTAAAGTTGGGATATAAACGAGTTGTGATCCTATAAGATATAAGACGTTGGGTTATCGGAATATTGGAGATAGGGATATATCTGGGTGGGATAAAATTTATACTGAGATCCAATAGAGTAAATCCGCCCAGTGTCAAAGCTGAATTATATCCGAGGGTGGGATACAATGGGGGGAAAAAATACAATGAGGGATGACTTTACAGTCTGATTCACGGCAGTGACATTCAAGTTCTAGGTGTCAACAAACAACCGTTCTTGCTGATTCACCGCTTACATTAAGTGCCCATACTGCATTCTTAAGATGAGTAAGCATTTTACGTGGTAATAAAATGTCAATCGCGTTCAGCTCAAAAACACCTGTTTTTGCTTGTACATTCTGGCGCGGTTATGGGCCATGTGAAGTTCCCGACTTTACTAACAGATTCTTTTCAGTCTAATCGTCCATGCAGTGGTATCTCTGCTATACGTACGTGTTTGTTTTTTGATTCAAACAAATTTGTACTGTAACTACAGTCATCCCTCTCTATAATCACACTGTCGGGAACAATGCGATTTTGTTGAGGTTTTTTCTCACAAGTTCAATGGGTAATTGGTTTTCAAACATGGTGTACTTATAGAGAGGTTTTTATATCATGTGCTTAGAGGGGGTGATTATAAAGGGTTGACTGTACTTCTATAAGTCTGAATGTTTATTTATTATTTAGAATAGAATTGATATCTGTTTCAGCTAATTTGACAAAACTTTCGCTATTGGTTCTAATTTTCTCTCCTACTTTGTTCGGTCTATTTCTCCCCCTCTTTTTCTAATTCCTCGGCTTGTTCTGATATTTCTTTTGCTAACTTCTCACAATATATTGCTCAGAATTGAGACAAGATGCGAAACTTAAATACTTTTCTTTCCTTTTGATCTGGAGCTACGTAAGGCAATACACCGTAACTTTTTCTTACACTTGTATTTGTTGTCATTTTTTCGAAACATCAAGTTTTACGATTAAATCACGACGAAGAAACATTATCAGCAAGACAAATAATATGCACGCCACAAAAGGTGCTAGACTTACATTCACCGATGTTATTATGAATCCGTTCATCGCGCTTACGATACTAATAACACTACTAACATAGCGCGGTTCTCCTACTCATGCACATAAATACGTGATTTATTTGATGCTGGGTTGCCATAACTCGTTTCTCTTCTTCCAATTGATTCGATTTTAGGGAATGAGAGTTTCCGGATTCATGACAGAAACTACTTCCTTGCGTAACAATATATATAACAAATTCGATGAATAATCATATATGTTACGGGTGCTATTCCTTCCATTTGAACAATGTCCCTGATCTGAATTGAGAATGTTACTCAGTTCCATATCTTTGAAATAAGAAAACGACCGTTGTGCAATTTTCGTACTACAAGTCTACTTGTGGATCTCTGCATTTTAAATCAAATATAAGAAAAATTAATTTTAATAAACACGGTTAACTCACATTCTTAAACAAACCACATTTTTATGCGCATAGGGATTGCATGCTTTATGCGCGTAGGCTCACGAGATTGCATGTTTTAGGCTACATATGAGATTGTATGTTTTATGCGCGTAGGCTCCATATAAGATTATATGTTTTATGCGCGTAGGCCCCATTAATTACCATATAAGATTGCATGTTTTATGCGCGTAGTCTCCATATAATATTGCGTGTTTTATGCGTGTTTTCGGTTCCGCCATTCAAATACCGACAACCATAAACATATTTAAAGACATTATCACCCAAACTCTTTATCTATTGCAATATTTTGCTCTTTTGAAAATCAAAATTGTAAACACATAATCTCTCCCCTCAATGCTAACACCACCGCCACCGCCAAAAACAAAAGGAGGTCCTCAGCTCCCAACCTACGGACAGAATCACAGATCTCCGACAACGTTATCCAGGACACAAATTATCTGTGACATCGGTTCAGGGCTCAATTGGAGACGCAGGGTTTTTGGAACGAATATACTTTTAAAGGAGTCGAGGAAGTGGTGATTACCCGAAAAGACCGCTTGTGTTGCTTTAGTTCCAAATTTGTGGAGTGGATCTTTGAAAAAAATGAGACACGGCTCGTACCAATGATAGCAAATATGGAGAGCTTGCAGAAGATAAATCGTGCATTCTTCCGACAAATAATCCGAAAATTTCGGATATTTGTGTCGTACAAGAATAGTTTCTATTTGTAACGATGCAACCACTACCTTAATAAAATCCGCTCACATGATAATAATAGTAACACTAATACAAATTTATTCAACGGTATAAAAGTTTGCTAATGCTTCCAACGTAAGATTGCGCTTTAATACAAAGAGTTTTTTTTCGAGGCCAGTCAGCGCCTTGCGTTTTATTTTGATGTTTTATTTTTTGAATTGCTTATTATAGACATAACATTTGAAGAACCACTCGTATTCGTTGAACTTTCTCCATGATTGTTCATTCTGAAGGATTAATGTCACTTGATGAATATCTGTATGCACGCGTTCACATAATTCGTCAGAGTCAGATTCTCATATCTGAAAAGTTCTTGTTTATTGGTTCAAAAAGGGCAGTTGTTAGCAAGTTAGAAGATGATAGTGAAAAATGGTCTAAATCGGTGATCAAGCTCAAGAATTCAAAGAAATCTTTGAGGAACGTAAAAAGGAAAGTCATGGTTTCAGTCAAGAAACGTGTGCTGCAGAAATTCGAAGTGCCTCTGGACGTACATGCCGCTTAAACCAGTCAGTTGTATCAAAAATGCTCAAAGGGAGAGAAGGCTGTTAGATATTGGGTAATGAATGAAAAACGAAAAAGGCATATACAGAAGACAGGGGAGGACCCCGTTGAGACAGTAATCTTATATGACAATGAATCGACAGATAATGAACAGTAGGTAGTCTACAAGCATTCTTATCATTAGGCCGATGCTAATCTGCGGTTCATGTGACATATCCCCTGACCGATAAGATTTCGAACGTTAGGCGAAAAATTATGTTTACTCACTCACTTTACCGAAAAATTACTGTTGCAGTATCTTGTCTTGATGACTTTGATACAGATGAAGAGAAACGTACTTATTTGAGGAATTAATCTCTCCACCTGGTATGTTCTAAGATAATGTTGCTTAAACTCGTTTTCTGTTATATTCGCCAATAATACCGAATACTTACTTATTCTTTTCCTGCTTCTTATTGTCAAACCCGCCCAAAACACATTCGTGTTATCGTAGTTCAACCCGTTGCTGGTAAGTGAGTCGTAATAAATTAGTCAGCGTAGTGAACGTGATATGACTTGATAACCACCCTTCATTTGCTGGCATTTGTTTCTAGCTTCTGTGGAGAATCTTTCAAAGCTTTTTAGTCAAATGATATGTTTATTTATGTAAAGTGTTGCAATTTTGATATGCTATATTCACGGTGATTTTCCTAGGACATTTCAGGTAGCTCTGGTAGTGTGAGCACACCGTCTTTTTCAATTTTTATAAAGATGGTAGTTGATAACTCGGAAATTACGAGAAAAAACTCAGAAACAATGAAAAAAAAAACTGTTCGATTTATAAAAGAATTTAGTAGAACTGAACATGAGACAGGTACCGGTTTTCAAATGCGTATGCTTTGGCTTTCCAATTTTTATTAATCCTATTTTGTATACATAACACAGGCAAAAGCTTACCAGAGCACCATGTTTGATGTGGAATATTTTCTCAGCAAGAATAATACTCACCTTGGTTCCTTTCAGCAAATGGAACAGTTGATACTTACCTGCAAAGAAATAGAGTACCAACTGACACAGAAGATGATGTCCAGGAATGGTTTAATAATGGACTGATGAAGAACCTCCCAAATTTCTCAAAGAGAATTGCTATAAGAGATACACACATACCTTAGTGGATATAAGCCAGATATCAGCATCTTTATGGAAGATGATATTATAAATGATGTGTATCTTACCATGTTTGTACAAACACTTTTGGAGGTGAAAAAAAAAGAGTCTCTCTAATTTACTTGATGAAGACAAGGTTCAGGTGTTGAATTATATATTATGGCATGGGGTGGTTTTTGTGCAAAAGGGAAGACCAGCCTCTTTTACTTCAGCAACATTATGGATGTGAATTTCTATGTTGGAATATTAGAACAACACCTCCCAGAAATAAGAGGACTGTTGGGAGGCAGATGGCCTTCCAACAAGATAACAATCCTAAGCATACCTCTTGTATTGCAAAGGAATTTCTTCAAAACAATGTTTCAATGGTTTTGGACTGGCCCTCCAACAGTCCTGACCTTAACCCTATTGAAAACCTTTGGAACATAGTTAAACAAATGTGGAAAGGTGTAAACCAAGGAACTGTAAGGAATTGGAACAGTTTTAAGTT